ACTCCTTCCCTCTCAGTTGGTATTTTGAGCTACTAGATTCATAAGTATAGGTCAAGTTCATCAAATTGTAGCAATTTACACTCATTTCCTTTATCATAAATTTTTTTCTCTTCCTCTAGTTGAGTTCTGATTACCAAGCCATCGAGGCTAGGTCAAATGGGTACTATCTGCAAGTTTGGGCGTTCTTGTGCATCGCCCATCACTTCATAGTAGCTGGATGCTTCACTCTCAGCTGTAGCCCTCTGTAGCTTTGTTCCTGTCCATGAACTCAGGAATCCCCAGGTCTCACCACACTTCGGACCAACCAGCCCTTCCTTTTCTCTCTCTCATCTTAATGTCAACAAGAGTCTATGGAGTGTGGTTGAGCTCAGCCCATTTCTTCATTGCTGCCTTTCCGCCTCCTCCACTTGCTAATAGACCAACATGGTCACCAGCAAGCTTACATGCCTGCTCATGTGTTCCCATTGAGTTTCAGTCTTGGAGGAGGGTTTGTCCTGAAAGCACTTGATTGCTTGCCTTGATGGCTCCCAGCAAACAACTTACTTGTTCTTGTAGTAACCAATCATACTGCCATTTTTGTTTTGGATTTTTCCTGCTGATCTTTCTTTGAAGATGTGTCTTGTATTGCTTTAGCTGTTTCAGGCTGGTCTGCTTGTCCTTTATAGTGGAAATGTTCCACCTCAGATGGTTCTGGATGGGGCTTAGAATTCCACCTATGATCTTATACACTGCAAAGGCTCCACAAGAAGCCTATTTCACCGGGCAAGTTCTAGAACCCCGTTTAGGTATTCCTATCAGTTATAGGCTGAAAATGGGCATACAAGCTTTCTGTAATCATGTTTCTGACATTCCTTTCTATCCCACTTAAGTGTCTATTTTACAACAGTAGACAAGGGAAACCAATATTCATAAGGCAGTCAAACATCTTAACATTATTTCCCCTCTACAGACTATGCTTCGATGCCTGTATCACAAGAGTCCTGTTGTTACACGTTTGAGCACACATCACTATTTATTCCTGTCCCAGTTGGCCCATGCTAACCTGCTGGTTGATGTTCAACAGTCTCAAGAGGTGGTAGCATATGGTCAAGAGCCAGTGATACTGAAGGAGGAAGGAACTGGCAAAGAAAAAGTCACCAGGAATTGATGGAATAAAAATTGAACTCTTGCAGGAAAGTGAGGTGGCACAGGAGGCACTCATTCATCTATGCCAAGAAATTTG